GAACCCATCTATTTCAATAAAATAATGACTTTGTCGTCCCATTTAAGTTCTTGGCAAGAAAGCTTTCCTATTAATGCCTTCCTGAATCTACATTGATTTTTTTAGACCTATTTCACATTTTATTCTAGAACCGATACTGCCTCTTGCTCTCCCTGTTGACCCTCTTGATGTGGCTCGTCAAAGACTAACCGGTCACTGACTGATGGTGACATGGGATTCTCTAATGAAGTCTAATTCCTTGATGACAGTTTCCCAGCTGCTGTTCATAAGCCTTCTGGGCTTTTTCTTTTTTGGTATTCCTCTTCCACCTAGAGTGCTTTCACGACTAGTATGCCAGCACGAAGTCTCTCACAGAAAGGAGAGATGCTAGGAGTCAAGCAAGAGCTAGTGATACCTCTGCTTTCCCAGGATACCGATTATCCTTCCCATTTTTCAGACATTATTTTTAGTAAATGGTGAGGCTTGTGATTTCAAGTGTTCATTCCTCCCACATGGGTGAGTCAAATATTTATAGTTATTTCTCCAGTACTTTCAATATTTTCCATGCCTGTTATGCTGGTGGAAATGAGAGGTGGATAGACGGGCTATAATATTTATGTTGACTTGCCTTTCCCACCCCCTCCTCATTTTTCTTGGGATCTTCAGTTGGCTTAAGAGTGTTATATTTTAGGCCAACATCTGATGGTTTTACAATGTTCCAGTCCTTGGATGATGGAAAAAGCCATGAACAAACGCATTTTCAATTTTAGACTGCTTAAGTAGCATAAAACCCACTGTGGAAATAGGTGCAATGCCTAGCACTTGATCTCTTCCTTCTGAAGTCAATGGTAGCCTGACTTCAATTTGAAAGGACACAGGATCATGCCAACAGCCAGAGATTGTGAAATTCACTCATGTTTTTATTAAGTTTGACACTTGCTTTTTACCCATTCTTGAGAAAGCCAAGCATCCAGTCCTACTGTCCAGTCTATGAGAGCAAGGAATTTCCCCTCTGCCTACAAACTTGGACAAGAGGCAATGGACGCATACAGAAAATTAAGAAAAAAAAAAAAATCCTTTTGAACATGAGAAAAAACTTCTTACTATAAGGGTGGTCAAACACTGGAATGGGTTGCCAGGGAAGTTGTGAAGTCTCTATCTGGGCAATAATCAAAACCTGACTGGACAAGATCGTGAGCAACTTTAGCTGACTCCGCTTTAAGCAGGGCCGTTGGACTGTGGTCTCCAGAGGCCACTTCCAACCTCAACTGTGCTGTGATTGTGTAAACTCTGGTACTTGTTTCTGTCTACTTTGTCCTATTTCATTTAGGGGAAGGGGAATGTTTTGAATGGTGCACTTCATTCCTGTCCTAGCTCCATCTATTTGCTGTAAAAGAGGAATATTGTTAATTCTTACTAAAATCTCCTGTTTTAAGGGTATCCTTATGAATCTCTCTGCTAGGCTGGAGCAGCATCTGAAGGGCAGTGCTGTCCCTTGGATTATCTTGGCACGTGTCAGTCCAGCAACAAAGACTTTAATAGCCAGGACCAGACATCACAGCTGGCTCATTCAGAGCAGTGTGCCAGCCCTGCCAAAAAGTAACGGTAGGATAGAGAAATCTTGTGACACAAAGAATAGATGGTTCTTATCCACTGTCTTGTCACTTTAAAAAAAAAAAAAAAAAAAAAAAAGAGAAATCCAAATCTTGCATAAATCTGAGAAATTATTAAATGTCTATGTAATATCAAACCTTGCTTTAACTGTGGAATCAGGTTGCTCTGGAGCCCCTCTCCTACGAGGCCAGGCTGGGGGGGCTGGGGGTGCTCAGCCTGGAGAGGAGGGGGCTGCGGGGAGGCCTGAGTGTGGCCTGGCAGCGCTGAGAGGGGCTGCAGGAAGAGTGGGGGCAAGCTTTTAGCAAGGCCTGTCTTGACAGGACAAGGAGTGATGGATTTAAACTAAAGAAGAATAGATTTAGACTGGATATAAGGAAGAAATTTTTTACGAGGAGGGTGGTGAAGCACTGGAAGGGGTTGCCCAAAGAGGTGGTGGAGGCCCCATCCCTGGGAACATCCCAGGCCAGGCTGGATGGGGCTGTGAGCACCCTGGGCTGGTTAAAGCTGTCCCTGGCACTGCAGGGGCTGGGCTGGGGGAGCTCTAAAGGGCCCTTCCCACCCAAAGCATTCGATGGTTCTATGATTCTATTTGTAGTCAGCATATGTTTAATCTTCCTTGCCTACTACTATTACACAAAACAATCACCTATCATAATGTTTCTGCTGTCAAGTCCAGGCTAGCCAATATTAGCTAATCAACTTTTATCAAAACTTGAATTTTAAATACTGCAAATGTAACAGAAAGAGATCAGTCATGGGAACTGTGGTCTTTCACTTAGGGCTTCATGCAAAATACATGTATTAAGTATTCTCAAGAATACTCTCCTCAAGAGTGTAATTTGCACATCTGAACCCCAAGATAACCATTCTTTATGTGGCTGATACCATGGATATATTAAAATCAATGGCATGTGATTTTATTATCAACCAAGCCCAGAAGCATAATGACACATGAATTGCCCCTTCGAAGTCAGTGGGACCAGTTAGGCTGGACAGAATCCTAAACATGCTCTAAGTTATTTGTAAGTTGATACCTGTGACCAAAGAAGCTTTATGGTAAGTTCATGGCCGTACACACTGAGACATTTTTGCTCTGGAAATGAGAAGTGTGAGACTGAGGAATATTTTGTTATTTTAATTCTAATACAGGTTAATTCATACATATATAAATACAGATAATACATTGTATACTTTTCACTAGTCCTCAGTATTGCTTTGATGAACCAGCATTTGGGTTTGCTCCTATTCTCACTTGTTTATTCAATTTTCTGTCACTGAAGAATGTAGAGCCTTATCTCAATTACTCTTAATGATTAATTTTATTGTAGTACTACTGATTGCCATTTGTTGCTTTAATAGCTTACAAATAAAGTAATATAAGCTGACATAACAAGTGACCTGGGGAGGATATAGGAGAAACACAATATGCTTACAAATAAAGTAATATAAGCTGACATAACAACAAGTGACCTGGGGAGGATATAGAAGAAACACAATATGCTTACCTAGGTGAAATTGATATGAGAGAGATCAAAATTCCCTATTCTCATCAGTCTGTGCTGTCTGAGCTCAGGAAAATTAGCAGAGACTATGTCAGCTTATTCAAAAAATGCTCAAATGTACAAATTACATGGTGTCTTCATGTGCTGCACTGCAATGGATTTCACAAACCTTGATAACGTTATCATGCAGTTACTGATATTTTACCCTGTGTATAACCAATTGAATTATTATTACATTTTTCTTCTGGTCATTTATTTGAAGCTTCTCTATTAAATGTGCTATAAATTCTGTTAGTATCTTCACTTTATTGAGTGGCTTGTACCTATTACAAAATTTTGAAATTCATTGCACCAAAACCTGTCATAGTATTGGTCAGTTCTGGTGTAAGGCATTACCATTTCACTTAATGTCTATTCCTAATTATATTTCTTGAAAGACCACAGTTTTCCAAAGTTTGTATTTCTTGCTTTCTATCTGTATCTATCTGTCTAACTTTTCCTGTGTGTTATCCTACACGGTCTGGAAGAAGCAGCCAAATTCAAGATGAACTGTTATGAAATCCTGATCTGAAGTACTGTTAAACTTGTAGATTCATCCCAGAAGACTATTACTAAACAGCACTAATACAGTTTATTTCTCTGGTTTAAGCACTTTACATTGCATTTTAAAAATATTAATTTATTTTGTTATTAAATTATATAATTCTGACAAACTCTTTGAACTATTTTTGAAGCTCTTTGAGCACTGAAGGCCTGAGCAGATGCCAGCTAACCATTCTGGGCTCCTTTTTTCTCATTTTATATTTCATAGAATCATAGAATCGCCTAGGTTGGAAAAGACCTTTAAGATCATCGAGTCCAACCGTTAACGTGACACTGCCAAGTCCACCACCAAACCATGTTCCCTCAGTGCCACATCTACACGTCTTTTAAATACTTCCAGGGATGGGGACTCCCCCACCTCTCTGGGCAGCCTGTTCCAGGGCTTGACCACCCTTTCCGTGAAGAAATTTTTCCTAATATCCAATCTAAACCTCCCCTGGCACAACTTGAGCCCATTTCCTCTCATCCGATCGCTGGTTCCTTGGGAGAAGAGCCCGACCCCCCTCCCTGCCCCCTCCTGCCAGGAGCTGCAGAGCGATCAGGTCTCCCCTCAGCCTCCTCTTCTCCAGGCTGAACACCCCCAGCTCCCTCAGCCGCTCCCCACCAGCCCTGTGCTCCAGACCCTGCCCCAGCTCCGCTGCCCTTCCCTGGACACGCTCCAGCACCCCAATGTCCTTCTTGTGCTGAGGGGAACAAAACTGGGCACAGTATTCCAGGTGCAGCCTCACCAGTGCCTCACCATGATTACCTCCATTGAATTGAGGCAATTTATATTTTTTTAAAAATGCTCCTTCTTCACTGTTATGTAATTTTGTAGGCCTGCCATTTTTCCCCATCACTGTCCTTACTGTAATGTTTTCCGAATTTTACTTCTGTATTGAGAATATAACATTTTGTAAGAATGTTTATTTATTCCTTTAAATATTTTCATGCTGTTAAATATTTTAACAGAAGCATAAAAGAGTAAAACTATTCTGCTTAATTCATTTAGCCACTTCTCGCTAGATCTTCAGTTTACATTATGCCTTATTTCTCCAAACCTTTTACTGCTTTTCCATTTTGAGTTCATTCATCATTACGTACTCTATCTGAACTGGGTAAATATTTAGCTGAAAATGAGCCTCTTCAGAGACTAAAAAAATCAAGTAGATAACTAATTTGATCATTTTTCAAACCACAGCACGAGCTTTCATGGTGGCGGAAAAACACCTTGGAAATGTAACTGAAAGACAGCAATGACCACCTGAAATAAATTCTGTAAGATACTTAGGCTGTGCTGATGACAACATGCATTTATTTAGACAATGGACGGCCTTGCACCTTCACCAATGGAAGACTCCAGCAGGACTGAGGTGTGGGGGCAAGTAGCCTAGCCACTTTGGCTACTGTCTAAAATGAGACCTAAACCGAGTAGTGCCATGGAAGGAAGGAAACCAGTATGATGACCTTTCTATGCTGTTTCCAGCATGTCTGCAAGTCTAAATGGGGCCTATGAACCAAAACCTTTTGGAAGCCTCCCACTGGGGTGCTATGCACCTCAGATTCCTTAGCAACTGTACGTAATTACATGTACTTTTGCTTGCAAGCACATAGATTTTTTTGTGTGTTGACTGTCAAATCCTTTATGACTCCTCCCCACCTTTCCTGTGTCTCCTATCAACATACTGGCTCCCTGGCTTCTCCTAGGTCTTGTCTCCTAACTTCCAGAGGGGCCAGTCACGATGTGCAGCATCTGCACAGAAGCTATGAGTTCCACTTGACATGAAGGTAACACATAGCTATTAGAAATGTTTATGATGCTTTCCAGTGGGAGGTTACCAAGGCTGAACAAAATGCAAGAAGTTTGCTTGGTAAGCTGAGAGGTCACAGTGTGGGCGCTGGGAAATGATCCGTGTTCTGAGCTTCCGTTTTAGATTTCTTGCCACCCTCTGCGACTGGGCCACAGCCTTTGTGAACTGTGTGGCCAAGTTATTCTACAGGGATAGAGA